TATTTTTGGTCATACGATTTCACAGAGAATCGACCGTACAGTTTAGTAGCTCTAAACGCGTAGTGAACATACGGACTTCGGATATATTTATTTGATTCACACTGCCGTGAGCGTATACCGTGAATTAAATATAACTATTGACTTCATACCGCGTTCATAATTTCGCGAAAATACCCTTTCATATTGTGAGGTTAAGAAAGTTGTCTTTGAAAATATTTTTTTTGAATAATTCAAATTTTTAACAATTTTACGATATCTGAAGATCTCAAGTCAAAAGTTTGTAATTAAGTAATTAATTAATAAAATAAGTTTTCATAGTATATTGTATTGTTTTGATAAATTCAATAATTTAAGGGAATGAAGTATAGAGACTTAAAACCGTTTTTTCTTGATTTACATATGTTTTTTCGGCTTAAGTCATCGAAAGATTCATGAATCATTATGTCTATTTGTAAATAATATTTTTTAGCGTCTCATGCGACGTTTCAGCGAAAATACTGCTTATAAAAAAAAACAACAATCTTTCATCTATGATGCAGTAGATGTACGGGAAGCATCAGATCGTTAAACCACAAAAGTAGACCAACCGTGTCATTACATAAATATGCTGCATTTTACAAACTGTTTTGTAAGCGTCCTCATAAAAACAGCCAGCTAACAATGAAATCAACTTGAATGCGTAAAAGTTAAAATCTAAATATAACAAAAAATAATTTTCGTACTTCAAAATTTGGAATTCAAGGTTAAATCGTTCAGATAAAATGATAAAGTGGTCACCGAAGAAAGAAAGAGACGAGTGCCCTTATCTCCACGGACGTCTGTCTTAGTATGAACGTACTTGTGCGTATAATGTGTACTCACAAAACTATAACTTATACCATTAGAGTTGATTCAGTTGGCTCACTGACAATACTCTAATCTCTTCACACTTTGACTGAGTGAGGGGTAAAGAGGGGATGCACAAGGCTGTGTGATGCTAATTAATTGATGAGCCCGGATTTAAAGGCGTGTGACATGCGCAGCTTCATTAGAATCGGACGTATATATAATGCTACATTTACCATACGCGTGTGCCGAGATTATTGAATTCGCCTGGATTAGAGGTAGCTGAAAGTTTGTCGTGGTACGTACGCTGTACACGATATTTCGTTTAGTCGATTTCTCTTATATATACCTAACATCGCGAATGGTGAAAGAGATGGAGAGTCGTCGTTGTTGTTGATGTTACTAATGGCAGTGTGATTTTTTGCGTTCGTTACATAATTAGCACGATTTTCCTGACTCTGCGAGCAAGGCATATGCCAGACGCGAGATTCTCAGATTGGACTAGGTATAATCCGAAATAATTATACAAGCGCCCACTGCCGATGGGCGAAAAAGAAAATAATGTTTATGCATCGTTCGTAAACATTGCAAGGCAGTACATCATTCGCTACTAATAAAGCTTTATTTTAATTTTTTGTTGAAATCTTAATTAGTGAGCTTTGGCCATAATTTGAAGTTGTAATGAAAAAAGCCGTAACGTCCAAATACTGCGTGAAAACAAGCTTGAATTATCCAAGTAAATATAAATATAACGTTAAGTATAGAATAATGTTGACATAAAACTAGAGCTGATGTGCGACTGTATACTGTAAGGGCGCAATAATTATTTTTTTCTCGTCGAAAACTTTGCCGTACGCTGAAACGACGCATATAGTTTTATACTTAATTATAGCAAGCGGTGGCCCTGTCAATAGGCTCTAGACGCTGAGTGCGAATGCGTATATAAATGTATGCGTGTGCACACGTATACTCCCTGCGATATAGAGAAGTATTATAGGACGCACATGTATGTATTCATGAGTTGATGGTGTAAGGCGGGTAGCTTCAGCTAAGTCTCGAGTCATCATCGCTGGTTGGGCTTGAACCTTGAACTGTCTATTTAAAGTCAAACTAATTCCCTCTGGTATCTTCAGACGATAATCGAGCAATTATTTTTCTATTGAGTATATTTAATCAACGTTTATATATCAGTAAATAAGTATCAACGGTTCATTAGAAACAAATTTTGACTTTTTTAATAATACAAGAATAACTTTTTCATAGACCTTTTCATTCACGCCACAAGTTGATGTTTCGATCGGAAAAATCGATTGCTGAAAAATTTTACTTATCACGTGCGTATACTTACGCATCCACATTAAAAACGGAATTATTACTGGCGGTGAATATAGTAAGCAAACTGCATGTTCCATCGATCACTCAGCTATAGAATGCGCTTGCCTACTTGGGTTGTGTTTCTGCCAATATCATCATTTAATCATCAAAATAATGATTTATAAATTGATTGCTTGGAGACTAATTCCCAAGTCATTACAATAGCTTCTAAAAACTAAGCAGACGATATGATCTATAAAGACGTATTTTAAACGTTTGATGTAGTGTAATAATCATTAATTACTCTAATACCTAAGATTAGGTGAGAAAAATGAATCAATTAATCGGTTTCTTACAACTTTCAATGAATGTATAAAAACCTATTGAATATTTACGTATTATCAAGTATTTGTACACAAGCATGTACGTGTGAGGAAGTTAGTATGAAACGAAGACAAGTCTAGTGAGGAAATCTCGAGATACCTACCTAGTCGGTCTGTCTCTTTCTCTCTTCCTGTAGATCTCAGCTTGCTTTCTAATTATTCCCCACAGGCCATGAGAAATGGAACAGTAATTGGAGGGTGGACGAGGACGCATCGATCCTTCTATTTGAAGATAGAGAGGAAATTTCTCGTGCTGTTTTTGAAAACTCAAGCTAGAGAGCCGTAGCAATGCTCTAAACCGAGTGAGATAAATATGAGAGTTTTGAGCTTCGTTGCAAGTGCACGGATGTAAAGAAACGCGATAATGTCTTAAATCTTAAGCACATTTAACCCATGATTTTGGCTAAAAGAATGAGGAGATATAAGCAGCAGCTCTTATACTTACACATTTTTCTTTCATTCTGTCTGTCTGTCTGTCTGTCTGTCTGACTGTTTCTCTCTCGCCTTCTGCAAGCTTGCAAGAGCGATAGGAAGTAAAATTTATACTAAAGCTAGTTCACATCGTTCTAAACTTACGAAGCTCGGCAGCAGCAGCAGCAGCAGTGGCTCGTGCGGTGGCAATAGCAGCTAGCTCGCGGTCGGTAGCAGCGGTGTAGAGTTTAAGCAAAGTCTTTCCTTAAGATCTCTACGAATAGCGCTCGCACTAAGCGCTGACGCTGATCCTTCTTCCTTTGCCGATGATGCCACCCTTTTACTCTCTCTCTCTCTCTCTCTCTCTCTTTCCTTCTTACTTTTCCTTCCACAGCCAGTGACCCTTCGCCCATTGGGATAGCGTGAGAGAAAATATGTACACGCATAGTAGTCTGTTTACGAGTACTTATTTACGATTTTTTTTATTTTTACTTTCAGCATTCATCGATACAATCATCATTTACTTTTGATTGTAATTTTCATCAATAAAATTTTTAATGTATCCATAAGTATGTCTTTGAAAATTCAATTGTATCTTGAACAATTATAAAATAACAAAATTATATTTAAATTGATACTACTGAGTGAGTATTATGTTTCACGACTGCAGGTGACTGCACTAGTCTAACACCAGAAAAATAAATAGTAAGAGCGGAAATCACTTGAGGCTTTAAGAGAGGCCGAGAGAAAGAGCGAGTTGCTGCAGTAGATCTAGAGGGAAACGGAAAATATAGTGCGAGGGCAAGGTGCACTTGATAAACTATATATAGCTAGTTTGCTGCGTGCATTCTGGGGAGGTTAAGAAAGAAAGAATCCATTCAGGCCACAGAGGGTGGGGACATTCGAAGGTAGCAGCAGTATTACGAGCCCTGTAAGCTCGCCGAGCTTTAGACCACCTCAGAATGCAGTTGAGAGAAAGCTCGGTGGAGGAGGAAGAGAAGGAATAGAACGAGGAGGAGATGGTAGCTGCCATCCTTGGTCAGTAACACACCCCTCCTTCTTTATTGTGCAGGACGAGCGGTTCGAAGGAGGACTTGGCGCGTCAGCGATAGAGAGAGAGAGAGAGGGTTTTGCCGCTGAGGATCGTTGCACACAGGTGGAGGGTGGATCTGGAGACCCGCCCCGACCCCAGATTTGGAGCGGGTGGCGCGCGCGCACACCACCAACTCCCCCACCCTGAGCGCACCGCGGCTGCTTGACTCCGCTATCCACCCTCCCCCTTACGGACCAGCCAACCACCCCTGAGGCGCCCCCGTCAACATAGGCGACACAGTAGCTTTCGAGCGTGTTAACGAGAAGGGCTGCTCTACTCGCGCTCTCTCGTTCTGAGCATACAAACTTTCGTACTTTTTAAAGTTTTCCAAAGTTGTAAAACAAGCTCTCCTGCTCTTGGCAAGCTTTTTAACTTACTCGATGTTTTTCATATTGTCTTTAACTCAGCCGCTAGTTATGCATTAAAATAAGCTCGGACGGCTGTACAATGATTGTGTGTGCGCGTTGTGCGGATCGGCAGTGTACGATTTTTGCAAAGCTGCCACTCGTGTAGACGCTTAACAGATAATGAATGTTAAACTTTATACTGTGCATGCGATTGAAGACTCGGATGTTTTATGAAAAACCAGTGTGTGGGTGATTCGTGCTTTGACACGTGAGAGTTGACAGTTTTGTGAATACATTTGGACCGATCGAAGTAAAACTTTGCATAAGACGTGCAAATTTCAAGTTATTGCTTTAATGGAAAAGGTGAATGAAGCGATTCTTTTGTTAAACTGTTTTGAAGACTTTTAACAAAACACGCTAGATCGTACACTCGTCAAGATTTATACATTTTCATTAAATACCAAAATAACCTACACTTAATTCGGGGAATAAATAAATTAAGCTCGTAGTATTTCTGACACTCGCACATGGAATGTTGCATTTTATACAATAAATAATCATAATGCTCGCCACAAGCTCGACGCACAGCAGCCACTTTAACGAACCTCTGGAATTTTTCTGTTCCAGGGTCGAGCTAACTAGTGTGCCCGGTGGACAGAATGCGATGGCCCATCTCAAAAAACGTAAGCTGGAAGCTGAATCAGCAGCTGCAGCAAGCCAACAGCAGCATTCAAAACCGAAGCAGCAGCAGTTTACTGGGCTGAATAACATAAGCTTGAAAAAGACTCAGGATATGGAAAATTCTGTGGATGCGCAGCAGCAACAGATCAGTGCGAACAAACGACGACGAAAAAGTGTGCGTGACGATCAAAAATCGGTTGATGAGGCTAAACAGAACATAGCCCTGCCCCAAAAGAAACGTGTATTCAACGCTTCCAACAGTCCAGCGCGTAAAGCCACCAAAAATAACAGCGAAGAGCCCGAAGACGACGAAACTCTTATCCGTGAGACAGAAGCAGCTTTGAAGAGTCTGTCCGGTAGCTGGGCCCCAGCACCCCGTGGCTCATTCTACCAACGTGGCAATTCCGACGAAGACAAGTACGAGTCGAATTTCGAAAATTTATTCGAAGAGAAAAAAGACGGTACCAAAATGTCGCCATCGTCAATATCGCAGTCGTCAACGACGAGTAACGAGACCGGCTGCTCGCTCAAAGACGTCATAACACTACGTGGACAGCCAGACAGAAATACAAAGTATCAACAGCAGCAACCAAACAGTAATTATAAAATTTTGAACGGTGGAAAGATGAAAAAAGAAGATGATACCAGCTGCGGTATGCTCGGTCCCGATGAAATGACTAAACGATTAGCAGGCAGTAGTAGGGCAGTCTCCAAGTACGCCCGTTATGATGCGTCGGACTTCAACGATGGGCTCGCGGACGAGTCATCGAACGAACTTGAAATCGACATGTCCGACTCGTTGGCCAGCAAAGGCGAACAAGATCAAAATAAGGATGACGCCTTGGCGAATAATAAGCAGACGCTGCAGCAAAGTATCTACTCTGGCTACCAAAGACCTTACAGTGACGGATTGAAGGTAAACTCAACATCACCTACCTCCTCGTTCTCAGTTACATCTGCGTTCCGACCTCCGAACATGGACCACAACAAATCAGCCTGTCGGCCTCTGGGATCGACGGGCTCGATACCGCCCATAGGTCCGTTCCCGGCATCAGCTACCTTCGTCGGATATCCTACTCCCGGTCCAACGATGCCGATGCCGCAGCCGGTACCGGGTATGTCACCGCCCGTCGATGAGAAGCACTCGTCGATTTTACAATTAAAATCACCGAAAGAAGAGGCCACGTCTCCATCGCAACGGCCAAGCGATGTTCCCGTCGCAGTTGGCTCGAGTACCAGCAAAAGCTTATCGTCGATCGGCAGCCCCGACGCTAACTCGAAGCAATACACGATCCTGCAACCGGCGGGCTTGGGCTCACGAGCGGCCAGCGCCATACAGGATATAGCTCGAGAAAATGTTCTCAGCGTCACTGCTATTACCAATAACAGCGGGACTGGTGGCGGCGTCGTCAGTAATACCGCTGGTAGCACAGCTACCGGTACCAGCAACAAATCACCCAGCAGTACCAATTCCGTGGCGAGCAGCAACCTTCCTAATGTATTGAATAACGTTGCAAGTAACAACAATAATAGCATCAATAATAGTATCAATAACAGCATGTCGAATATGTCACCTGTAAATACAGCGTCGAATCCATCAGTTATGATTCCGATGCCCATTACTACAGCAAATGATCAACAAGATGGGCCAATGAAAATCAGTGATAGATTGAGTTCTTTCGACGCTAACCGACCTACTATGTCCATGTCCCCTACGAGTTTGAGTAGGGGTAAGTCTGCTGCAACTTCAGTAAATGCATGTTTTACGTAATTTAAATAACTATTTTTTTATTTAAACTTGCCCGATAAACAAAAAAGATTAAGTACACATTCAAAATTCAATTAAGCAGTAAAATATTTTACATTTTGTTTTACATATTCTCAATTAGCATATTCGGGAAATATGCATGCATAAAATCTTGATTTTAAAAATGTAGGTCTAAAATTCTTAAAAATTTACATGGGAATTTCATAAAAAATATTTGTGAAATTAAGAGATAAAGGCTACTTCGGAATAGGCCTTTTTTCATTTGAAAAACAAACAAAAATCATTGGAGTACAGATGAATGTAGAAGATACAATCAGACAAGCAAATTATATTTCAATCAGTAGCTGCAAAATATTCAAATCAAAAATTCATATCATTTTGAAAATATTCTGAATAAAATAATTTGAAATCGGTATCTTTAAATGAATACTTTTAAAGAATACGTTTAAAAAATTCAGCTTAGCATCACATTTTTAATAAAATTCATCGTACCTAGCTTTGCATATGCTTAATACATTAAAGCTTACGAGCTTTTCACCAATACTACCACAGTTGGTCAACATTTAGATATTGTATTGCATACATCTAGCTATCTCAGCTATTATTGCGCGAAATAAGATCGGTTCGAAGCGAATTTATCAGCCGTTGTGTAAGGCACGCAGCTTGATATCTCATCAGTACATGGATCGTTCGTTCATTTGCCGTTCTGCGGCGACAGGTGGAATTTGAGTGCATTCCCGGGATCTTAATGCGGTAGCGTACGCCTACTGTGTGACACTCAATGTGGCAGAAAGGGAAAGATATTTAGGGTTCTTGATATCGCGCGTCATATACGTTTACGAATAAACGTAAGCCACAGCTGTCAGCGTGGTTAGAAACGTGACTAGCCTACCGAAAGCGTCCTCGAGCTACCTTATTCCTCTGATACGCATCTTCTCAGTCTCTCATTATCTCTTAAAAATTATTTTCTTCTTTTTTGGCTCAGAATGACATTTTGAATACGTTGAACTGAAAAATTATTTTCAGCCCTTATAAAAAACCTATGGTCTTTATAATATTAATTTCAAAGTGACAAGTTAGATGAGTAGTAGCACGAGGAAATAAATTTAGTCTCAGGTGTTCATTGAATTACCATTGCAATTAATGTTTGATCAATTGATTCCTATCAAAAAAATAATTGTTACAAACGCAAGGTGAAAATGCTGTCCTACCGAAAATACATATACATCTCTTCGCATATGAGTATCCTTTATGCAGTACAGCTTGATGGCATGATTCTATATCCTCGCCTCTGCATACATAATACTATATATTCTCTCTCGCCCTTTTTCGTAGCGTGACCCTCGCTCACTCGCATCACGCTGTATTTCTTGATGGAAGCGTGTTGACACGCCATAAAACTGCTATCGGTAAATTCAGTAGTCACCGCGCGCGAAAAAGACTTTAGCTATTGCCCACATGCGCATATACCATTTGACGGTTCGTGGTGCTAATAAAAAAATAAACTGTACAGCCACAACTTGATTTTACGTCGTCTTGGCTGTTTCCTTGTAATGTATAAAAAAGCCGTTTTGCACATGACTAACTCATTATGACCCTTCTCGACTGCTAAGCGTCTGTTTGACCTTTATTGCGGAACGTGTCATTTGTACTTAATTCACTTACTATTATGAGTTCTTTTGATTCTGTTTATTAATTGCTTCAATACGTTATTTGTATCAGAGCATGGTATATCTTCTTTTATTTTTGCCATAGCTGTTCAGCGGCCGTCGCTTGATCAACTACCTGTTATTTTAGCCGACGTCTATATGAGCTATTAACGTGACCATTTCTTTCAATATTCATGTGTAATTTATCTGCAGAAAATAAATTAATAAATGAATTAATTAAACAATCGAGTGCAATGTTTATGTAAGCAGGTATACACGTAATCGAAGCAAGATTCACGCACGTGAAATTGCTACAAAATAACGCGATTATACACCAAGTTTCACCCTTAAAGGCAAGTGGGCAACGCCAGCAGTGGCAACCCCCGTAGGCCATACTACACGGACGATGATATCCCCTCTCTCTCTCTCTCTCTCTCTCTCTCTTTCTTTCACGATCACTCGGACCCTCTGATTCTTTTTTCTTTATACGCAGTTACTCACAGTGCTGAGTAGGAGTGTTCGAAAAAGATCTGGTACTCGTTACAAATCTATTCACGAGACGTATATCCCGGAAAGAGAAACGCGTACAGCAACGACAGAAATTCAGTTCAAGACCTGAATAGTACTAGTTTATAGATCCAAGTCACCGCTACTTGTTAATTAATTGGTACGCCAAGCGAGCGTGTTGCTTCTATTCGGCCTATATGCACGACTCATAAGTCTACGTATGTGTACGCATCATTCCATCTTTTACGCATAATTAGAGATTTATACAAGAATATACAAGACTGTTCTTTTTTCTCCCTGTTACAAGAGCCAACTTTAATTCTGATGATTTCTCTCTTACTATTCGTTTATGCTTGTTTACCTTGTTCTTATCGAGAAATGTATACATGAATGTGAACAAGAATGCTAATTCGATCGTGGTTTTGTTCTACACCAACAAGTTTATGTATTCGATGCGCTATTTTTTAAATTAATAGTATTTCTATCCGATTTACTCTATAATGAGAGCATACTTAAAAAAACATAAACTTCTAGGGACAGCACTTTTTGCGAGGTATGAGCCGTTGCCGACTCTGCCGTCGGCTTGGTGCAAGAGATAAGAGCTTGAGGAAATTGTTCATGAAAACATTTTTAAAAATATTTACTTTTCAGTTCTTTTGCTTGAACTTTCTTGTTCTTCAGACTGAATTAACCTTATCTTCTATGCAATTCAATACATTTTCCTATTTTTCGTGTTCGAAACAATTCAACAGTTCGTGACTGTTTTGATAATTCCTGCAGATCTTGGTTTGAAAGGTCCTTCGTAAACCATCAAACTCTCGTCTATCTCGTTTTCTTATTTCTTATAGTGTTCATTTCCTCTTCCAATTAAAATATTTAAGGGGAGTCATACACCAATTCACTCTTCTTTGGCATTTTTGTGATATAAATCACAGTTTAATTTCATTCTACATTTTCAACATAAAATTGACATCTTTGAGTCTTAAAAATTGTGAAAAAAAATTACAGAATAGACGTTTGCATCTAAAATTAGCTCATTTTTGTTATTTTAGCCTTTCGGCACTCTGCGCAAAGTTCAGATCAGAGTTTTTCAGGTTGGGTGCGACACTCGCTCCATGATTCAAAATTTTCCATTGAGAGGTCATATTCGTTGTTTTGATTGGCTTGATGAAGTTCGTACGAATATGATTTTTCAGTACAACTTAGAAAACTGTCCACCACCTTGTGTTAGCTCCTTGTTTTGCAAAAAAAATAAATCCAAATCCGTTGCCTAAAGTAATAATGATTTTTCTTTTTACATTATTAGGCTATAAAAATTAAAAAAAAAATTTTTTAAAGCAGGTACTATAATTCAAGTGCCTCAGTTGAAAGTATTTTGTCCAGTTAAATACGTAGAAACAACTGAATATATTGTAATAAGACTACAGACCTTCAACACTTAGCATTTCAGTTTTTAGTTACACACTAACACTATAGAATTCGAAGTCATCGGATCAATATATTCAGTTCTATTCTAAAAGAATTACTTCTTTCATTCAACTTTTTTTATTTCAAGTACAATTAAATAAAAATGATCAATAATATTTCATCGTTAATAACTAATTGATTGTATACTTGATTGTAAACACAAGTAGTTAATGTAGATCTTATGCTTAGCTTGAAATTGTTATCGTGACCGATGGTCTCATGAAAAAAAAGAAATCTCATAGAACTAAATTGATTTTAAGATAACATGGAAACTCGCGTTAACTTTTATTTTGTCAAATCCTTAGTTATCCTAATTTTAAGTATTTAACTTGACAACGTACTTTCAAGATTGGGTATTGAAAAAGGATTCTATGCCTGTTTTTCAAAATGGTAAATTAGGTAACTAATAATTATAATCTCAAAGAGTCATAAAAAATCTCGTTTCGTTTACGAAACGTTAAAAGATATCACTTCTGTATATGCTCCGTTGTAAACGACTTTTGTTCTAGCTTATAGTATAATATACTATTTTTACAACTTTTACACTTGCTACTGTAAACAGAAACATTGAAAAAATGTAACCCAATGTTCGCTTTTGCAAAAATTTTCGAAATTGCGTTTACGTCATAGCGTTTCGTAGAGTTGTTTTGAGTTAGAAGTGTTTAAGAAAAGAAAGCCGGGTTAAACATCTGTGAAAAGTGTAGGGAACAGGCGTCGACAGTTTTTTAAAGTTTAAAAATGTGGTCCTTTAAAAAGAGATAAATCGGTCAAGCATAAAATATATTTCACACTCTGTTCTGAGAGTAAAAATAATCTTAACAGTATATTTTCTTTCGTATTTTTGTCTGCAAAATCGAATACCGTAGTTAGTTTAGTTCTACAATTTCTTTTTCATCAAAAAAATGGACTTTTTCGATTTTTTGTGCGTTAGAAACAAAAAATCGTCTTTTCAGCGATTAAAAATGAACAGAAAAAATCTAAAGAATTTTATGACACTCTCGAAATTCAGGATTTTTTGTGATAAATCCAACGCGTATATTATTATTTTATATTTTAAAATTATTTTCATACACAAAAAAGGACTTTATCGATCGTCAGTTTATATAAAAAATCGAAAAATCGATGTGTATTTTCGTTTCTTCATGAAAATAGCTGAGTATAATCACCCAAAAAATTACATTAAACTTTGTAGCTTAATTTGAGAAGATATTTGCTTGTATCTTGAGATTTTTTTTCAGAAATCAAAAAAAAACGCGGCTCAATTTCTAGTAAACATAACTTGCACGAATTTCATCTCATCATTTTTTGATTCATACACATAGGTATACCTATGGCCGATTCTCTGTGGGGTCGAGTTGCCAAATAGTATATTTTGTAACAAGTGCGCGAAGCAGTTGACTCATCCAGGAGTTGTTTTCACCCGATCGTAGCGAGGGTGCAAAGACTCCTGGGTGAGTCAACTTCCTCGCGGACTAGTTGCAAACGATATTTTTTAACTCTGCTTGCGAGAAACTAGGGTTTTCTGACGCTTTAAGGTTAGAAAACCCGTGTTTCGCGCACGCAGTGTTAAAAAAAAATTGTATAGCACTGCGAGGCATAAGTTTACATTCATGGCACGCTTTTCTGTGGCATAAGTCGCACATTCTGGTACCGCAAAGTGATCTTAGCGCACGAGCGTATGCGAGTGTGATGCGAACGCAGCGGCGCCAGAAAGTGCGACTCATATGGCTCGGAAAAGGAGGTATAACTGTGAACTTAGCACAGTGCTATAAAATGTCGTACGATACTTGTGCCATAGGGACACTTTTCAGCCCAGCTATTAGGACCCTAAACTATGCCGTGCCAAAAAGTGTTACTTATTATGTCAAGTGTTATTATGGCACTTATATCGTAAATTACTATTTATAGCAAATATGACAATCATGTTGTTTCTGATGTCAGATTAGTCACAAATATTTTTTAGAAAAATTGGGGCCTTCTATGACACTTTTTCACAGGCCTAAAGTTGGCCATTTTAGCGTTTTTTCGAAATTCATGAAAAATTGCATATATTTAAATAATTCAAAGATCAGTGATTCAAAAGTAAAAAGGGCTACGAGGTTTTTTGTTGGAAATTGTCCAAATTTGAAAAATGAATTTTAAAAAAACGCTAAAATGGCTAACTCTAGGCCTGTGAAAAAGTGTCATAGAAGGCCCCAATTTTTTTAAAATTTTTTTGGGACAAATCTGACATGGAAAACAACAAGTTTTTCATTTTTGCAGAAAAAATTTTTTTTTTGCCATTAGACTTCACAAAGAACTGGCCTGTACATATTTATAAATAATTTAATAGTTTCTATATCTTTTCGTGCTATTAAATAGTTATTTTATAAATGAAAAATTATGGAAAATATAAATCATATGAAAATTTTATTGTAAAACAGTTTTTATGAAATATTGTTCTCGGTATTTTTAATTATTAAAAAATAAATGGATAAATGAATAAAAATATATATTGCTACAAAATATATAATAAACAAATAATAATAAATTGATATTATTTTATTTATTTCAGAAGGAAACAAGTGCCCAACTCCTGGTTGCACCGGACAGGGTCACGTGACTGGACTTTATTCTCACCACCGCAGGTGAGTTATAGACATAACGGTATTTGATAGGATAATTTAATACGATCCCGATGCAATGCTAAACAAACTTCTTTTGTAGATATTTCAAAAATATTCTTCAAGCATAATAGTACTTTATGCAATAGTATGACGAAAAATGTCTTTTTTCGTACATTTTTTAGTGGGCAAAAAGCGTTTTTGGACACTTGTGTGCGGTAAAATGCCCCATTTTGGACACGGGTGTGTGGTAAAACGCCTCATTTAAATGAACGTATTTTTCGCCTTCTTATTGCATAAAATTTTGTATGCAATACGTGCCCAGCTTTTTGCGCACAGTGTGCGGAAAAAACACACACTCGTGCCCAAAAACCCCTTTTAGGCACTTGTTACATAAAATACTATTATGATACTAGTGTCATAAGTAACACTTTCTATGATTCGCTACGCTTGTCCAATATGAACTGCGTGGTGCCAGAGAGTGCGACTTATGAATCGCAAACGGGGGCATGAATGTGAATTTATGCTACGCAGTGCTATAAAGAACTGAAACACTATTGTTATTTTTTGAAAATTTTTGAAATCTTCAATTGAATGATACATTTTTAAAATATAAAAGTTGAATTATAAAGGTGCAAACTTTCAATCTTTTTAATAACCTGCAATTAAACTACATCAAAAACAATCATTTGACAATTCATATTTTTATTTTAACAGTTTATCGGGATGCCCACGCAAAGATAAGCTAACACCTGAACGTAAGTATCATATTTTTTGAATAATTTCTTTAAATTAGTGTTGTAGGTAAATATATAGTGCATATTGTTGAATTAAAGTGGAAAGACTTATCGTTTTTAAAATTGGGGAGAACAGAAAACTTCACGAAAAATTTTTTCTGCTTTGAATTTTTTGATTTCTCTCCAATTGAATTAAAAATTGCACTTTTGCCTGTGTTTGTGCGATAACATTAATTTGTTTTGTGTTCATTTTTACTTTTATTTTTGCTTTTCGTTAACAGGGTAGAGAGCTCTATTTACAGCATTTACTTTACGTTACTTCCTTTTTTTAAGTAGTTTCAATTAGTAGCGAAAAATCGCAACATTTGTATATTATTGAAACCTTTTTGGAGAACTCGAGACCCCAAGACACCTGTGAAGATAATTGCTGTATTCCATAAAAATCTCACAACAGAATCAGTGGAAATCTCTTTAAATTTGAGTATAATGAAGTATTATACTTAAAAACTTTATTGCATCATTATTTTTATGTATGGTTATTTTAAAAACTAATATAATTATTAAGTTGGATTCCATGGAAATCAATGAAGATGAGCAACTAATCACAGTTATAAACATCATTGAATTAAGTTTTATAGAATAAATACAAAATGATTCAAATAATAAATATTAAGTTCATGATACGAAAGAATATAATTGTATATTCTTTTACTTGAACAATATGACAAATATATTTTCATTTAATTTGAAATGAACTTTTAATTGCGTTATGAATTGAAACTCAAAAACCTCATGATAATTTTGATAAGAAATTTTATTTATTAATTATTATTACTTTTTTATTAAGTTTTGTTCTCTCTACCCGTTGAGTATAACCTTGTTAATGTACCTCTTTTCGTACAAATGTATACCAAACATTGTCCAAAATGCATTTTCAAATTGTGATTAGATTTCTCTGAAATTTTTGTACTTTTCTTTTGTTTTTAAGTTTCTCCAGTCTCCAATCTCACTTTTTAAGAAAGCAATTTTCATTCTGTGTCCCTAAAATACCATCAACATTTGTTCTCTATTATACTCAAATCGTAAAAGAGATTTGTTTTGAAAATTTCAATTAGTGATAAGACGTGAGAAATCTTTAATCGATAAAAGTAATCAATGAGTTATTAATCGAGTCACATTTTCAATAATCATATAAATGTACACGCAAACATACGTGTCTGGGTTCTCGCAGTTCTGGCGATGCATGAGACTATTTTGAAATGTCCAACTCCTGGCTGCAACGGTCGAGGCCATGTCAGTTCGAATCGAAATACTCACAGGAGTTTATCTGGATGCCCCATTGCCGCAGCCAATAAACAAGCTGCTCGCGAGGCAAGACACAGAGTCCAAGGTAAGGATTTCGTGATGATAAAATGAAACATTCTATGCCCCGTAAAAGGTAAAGAAAATGCTTCAGTTATTTACGTTATTTTGATAAAGTCAAACATTTTTTGCAATATTCTTCTTTTGCCATTAAAATCTTTATTTGCTTGGAGTGCGATTTATTCATAGTTAATTCGACGTAATCTAAAAAAAAGTTAAATTGTAATGAAAATTTATACTTGTAACTATAATGCCAATCATCAAAATTTATTCCACAAATTGACTTTAAAAATGTAAAATTTTATTATTTATTAGTAACAGGGCTAGGTCCAGAGTATATCAGCGTGAATCTTCTAGCCAATTCGATCGATGGGAAAATTTATTCACAATACGCCACGTCAACGCAGCTGCAAGATACAAAGTCCATCGTTTCTTCGCCAACTTATGACTATTACTCCTCGACCAAAAATTCTAGCTTGAACTTGAAGCCAACGAAAACTCCTGAAGATAATAACACGTTACGTAATAGCAACAACAACAACAAAAGCATTGTCATTAAATCCGAAAGTAACTGCTGTAATCCGTCGGGTATTCAAGCTCGGCAAAGCGCGCCACAAGACCCATTGCTGGTTCCAAAAAGCGAAGATCCCAGCAGCTGTCGAGTAGGTCAGAACTCCCCAGCGCCACCGCCTCCACCAAGGCCAGCTTACGACTCGTATCTGAACAGCCAAGACTCGAACTCTTCGTCACTATCGTCGATGGAAGCGATGAGCGCTTCGAGAAACGGTGGCTCGTTGGGTGTGACGATGCACCACTCGAACCAACAGCCGCAACACCCGTCAGCCCATCACGGCCTCCCCATGCAGCCCGCGGTAACATATCCGATGTCAAGCATGGCCACCGGCGGCGTAGACGACTCGCGCATGAGTCACCAAATGGCTCAGCGCTCTTCTTACGAGTCGTCGATGATGGCCGCGGCGGTGGCCGCCGCAGCGTCGAACGGCACCGATGACATTTACGCTCAGCACCAACGTTCCGCTGCTGAGCACGCCCGCGTCGGTGCTTACATGCAGCACCCGGGCACGGCCAATATCGCTCGACCAGTGGTCACCTACTCGAACGAGATCACCGCTGCGCGAGGCTACGATAACACGGCCAACACGGCCAATCACCGACCTTACGATCCTGGCACCGCGACGGCTTACGACCGTTACGATTCGCAAGCATGCGCGCCCCTGCAACCGCAACCCCAGCAACAGCAACAACAGCTGCACGCGGTCAGGTCTGCTAACATGTATTATTTGGGACAGGCAGGTATGACAACAGAAGAGCAGGAAAGGGCGTATCACCAGGAGGCTGCCGTTGTGGCTCAACAGCACCAGATGGCCATGGCAGCAGCGAGTGTGGCCAGCATGATGAAGTCCGAAGATGGTTAGTCATTTGCATAAGTCACCTTTTGGTCCTCAGTGCCAGTGCCAATAATGCCAATTAATGAAATTTTTAAATCTTATTGCAGCGAAATGCGTGACGACGACTCAAGTACTAATGCAAAAGCCAAACGGACCGTCAACATCGCCTGGGGGATCAGTCATGGATTTATCTACGTCAAGCGTTACCTCGACTAGTCCCCAAGTCAGTTAATTTTAAAGATAATTCTACCTTCTATAATCAAAGTACTCTCATTGAATTACTAATTTGAATCAACGCATTGTTTTATGTATAATCAGGTACCACCCTACGGATCAAATAGTCTCAGCCCACAATACGGAGGTGGGCAAACAGTCGGTGGTAGTCCTCAAGCAGCAGCTAGCCCTCACCTCACGGCAAGCCCCCAAGTACCTAGTCCCCAAGGTCAGACTCTCGACCTCAGCGTAAATAGACTGCATAGGTGAGCTGATCATTCTTAACCTTCAACGAGCAAAACAAAATTATGCCATCTACTCTTATTCACTCTTCATTTGACTCTAAGTTTATCGAACATATTGATTTTTTTTATTGTATTCATCTAACATTGTTCGAGATATTTTGAATTCAATGACCTATTTTGGTAAAAATTATAATTCAAATAAAATTGAAACAATGCAAATGAGCTTGCAGTGGTGCACCCAGTCCTCAGTACTCAACGGCACATGGTGATGGCGTTCAAGTTTCTGTAGGGCCAGGATTCACAGCGCCAAGACCTATTGAAGAGCAGACGGAACCTGTTGACTTTTCTACGGCAAATGAGCCAGTAAATTTCAGTGGTGGTATCAGGCCAGTACCTGGATTCCCGCCTCCGGGGGTTCATGCTGCAGCTTACAGCAGGGAAAGCACACCGGACAGTGGTGCTTCGCATTACATGGATGCATACAGAGATCCCACGGGTAAATTGATAAATGTTCACTTTAAAATTAAACAACATAAGAAAAATCCATCTCATCATCGTTCAATTTGATGCAGCTTTTTATTTTTTCTGTCAGAATGTACAACTCGTACAAGTGCAACAGTTTCCAAAAATTGCGCACTGGTGGTCGAAACAAGTAAATTTTTTTCTAGGCATGTTTTTATTGCATTTCACACACGGGCTAAAAATCTCAAATACAAAGAAATGATGGAAAGGTAGCTCACATTTACGAGCTTGCGAATGAGGCAAAATACTGTAGTAAGCCAATGATGCAAAGCTACATGGTGCATATAAACGCGCAGTCAGTATAGTTTCATTGCTGTTCTGTCGACACGCAATAGCGGGAGAGAATTTTTTCATAGTATAAATTTGCACGTGACATGTTCCAGTCGAAATGAATACATTGTCGTGGCAGTAGCGTGCCATTACATTGCGAAGGCGCGCACTCGTACGTAGTCCAATATGTATAGGATATAAACGTATTGGAGTGTACTGGTCTGCACGTGTAACGCTTAACGAAAGCTCCGGTGCTGTAAACGCAAAAAAGTATATTCTTTGGTATATGTATACACATACGATACATAACATCACTGCGAGAAAAATAGAAATAGAGAGCGAGAGAGAGGTACAGAGAGAAAGAGAGAGAGAGAGAGAGCGAGATATAGAGAGCAAAAGAGTGCAGGTATAAAAGAACAAAAAGATCGTGGCATGTACAGGCAGTGGTGAGCAGAGCCTCCCCCGAGGCACGAGACATCATACTAGCACACCAGCACTACAATTGCCGAAATAAAAATGCGCCACACATCGGCTTTTTCTCATTCTCATTTTGTCTCGATTCACGCATACACAAATGCCCAAAGTCTGTGCTTACAAACGTAGTATATACATCTATGTATATTGCAAAGACAACGACAACGTCAGTTGCGACTACTACGCAGTAGAGCTACGACTGCCCCGAAACCATTGTTAATTATCAATATTTCGCGTATGCACGCGCCCACGTGCAAAAGTTTAGCGACGAGACTCCCGTTTGCCCAGTGAAAGACAGACAGAGAAAGAGAGAGAGAGACTGAGTGTGACGCGGGGGAGTAGTTATTGAAATTGAAACATACGCGTACCCATACATGCAGAGTTCGCTTGTATGCATCATGTGTGTATGTGTGCACGCGTATAGATAGGTGGATGTGGATGAATACGAGTATAGGTGAGCAGCGACTGGTGGCACGATATTAGCCGGTAACTCCAAGAGCGTGTGTATTTTTCGGTATGTGCTTGCGCCGGCGATAATATTGGGTAGGTTGGAGCTTTTACAAACCTAAATATATATATGGGTAAGGTTCAGAATTTTTGAAATAAACCTGCGCTCGTATGTCACCGATCTTGACGCGCTTTTGGTATGTTACAGTACATGGTAAAAAGGTCCCAAAACCAAAATTTTAGACCTCCCTCCCCCCTCCTACCCCCCTCCACCCCTATAAACGTCCATTTTCTATCTATATTTTTTCTGAAGGCCTGAAGCAATTAAAAAATCTGAAAAAATTCACAAAAATATTTTTCAATAAACTGAACAACCTTGAGTTTTTTCAGATTTTTTGAGTGCTTCAGGCCTTCAGAAAAAATCATTGAAAATTTTGAAAATTCATGTACGGTGTTACGATGCAATACAAAGCCCGATCTTTTTTTTCACTCATTTATGGCATGAAAATACATAACCTCAAATTTTTTCAGATTTTTTCAGATTTTTTCAGAGAGGACTCTGACGTCTAGAGCCGAAAAACCCCATTTTTTAACGAAAATATTTTTTTTAGGACGATACGAAGCCTTGAAAAATCTGGAAAAAATTTTTTCTCGTTTTCTTTATCGAAATACATTACCTTGAATTTTTTCAAATTTTTAAATTGAAGGCGATAGCATCTATGGCTGAAAACCGCTTTTTTTATGAAAAACGGTTCCTGGAACCCAGAGGTTCCGGTAAAAAAATTTGAAAAAATTTTTATCGAATTCCTTGTAAAATTTTAATAAATTTTGACCGTCGCAAAATTACGATTGGAGCTTCCTGGCTCATTCTAGAGCATAACAAAGATTCGAGCGAAATTCTGAAGACATTCATCACAGTTACATTATTTTTCAAATTTCTTTTGAAAAAATTTAACATAAATTATCGCAAAGGACACTTTGACGGTCGTTTAATCTTTTTATCATGTCGATTTCAGCTAAACGAGAGATTTTACGCACTTTAAATGACACCTTCAAAACAGGGGGCAAAAATTATCGTGGAGAGCTCAATTTTGGTTAATTACTCGTTGAAAAGAGTCGTTTGCGATGGTGCATGTTAAATTTTGATAAACTCATTGCTGTAGTCCATGGCCACATTTAACAATTAATTTTTTTCATTAACTTTAAGTATTGCGTTCCAATACTTGTAACTCGCTATTGAATCGAAACCATTCATAATATGTATGGATTTAAATAAGACGAAATTTCCAAGATGTAAAAAAAAAAGATTTTCCCGATACAATGAACGTAGACCAAGATAGAAGCATTTGAAAATTTACAAAATTTCGATGACATTTTTTGTTGCGATAATTTTTTTGAGTAGTGTATTTTTATATAATAAGTATGTAGCCAATTTTTGTGGATATGCTTTTCAATGAACCCGATACGTAAGTTACTATGACATGACCGATTTTCAGAGAATCGACTATAGGTTTGATTTTGGCTAAAATGGTGTTCTTCGAGTTCCATAAAAAACTAAATTTGGGGCGAATGAGAGTGATTTTTAGTTAAACAATTAACTTACAAAATAACACAGCAAACACGGTTAAGTTAAAGAAGCCTTTACAAAATTTCGACATTTGAGATATAATGATACGGCAATGACCCAAATTTACACTAATGTTGAATAGGCTCAATAAAAGTGGTTGAAATTAAAAGTTAACATTTTTAAACTTTATCCATTGATACAGCATTTTTAAACAAAGTAGACCTGGAGAATGCAAACCGAGAAGAAACTTCAATACGTAAATTATACCAAAAAGGTTTGCAGAAAGGAACATATCTCGGTAAAAAATGAACGGTTTAGAGTTCTAAAAATGCTATGGAAAGAGAAAAAAAATTTCACAAAAATGAAACAAAAATCTTTACTATTTGAAGTCTTTCTTTTATCTGTTTATTTATTTATCTCTTAATAAAAATTTGAACTCACAACCTGATAGAGGGATAAGGGATCCCTCGTTATACGCAGAGGTTACGTTCCGAAAAAATGCCGCGTATAGCGAAACCCGCGTATAACGAGGGAAAAAGCGGATGATCACGTTAAAAGTGCTTTTTATTAAATATATTAATATAAAAATTTAATCCTCTTCTAATTTATTTGGAATTTTCAATTTTTCAACTAAATTCGTAACTTTTCTTTTTTTAATTTTGGAAATTTTTCAAGTTTTCGGAGCCATACAAGGTCACGGGAAAAATTTTTGAACCGTCTTGAACCGCGTATAAGGTGAATTTACCCGCGTATAACGAGACATCGTCGCATTTGGTAATCCGCGTATAAGGGTAAACCGCGTATACAGAAGCCGCATATAACGAGGGATGTCTGTATTACACCGAAAAAAAATTTTAGAGATAATTATAAAAAGGGGACAGCTGGATCAGAAAAGATATTTTGCTGCCACAGCAAAATTATTGGGCTATATTTCAATGCTAAATTTTACTAAATTTCGTTGCATCCGCAAAATATATTTTTCTGATCTAATCCAGCTGTCCACTTATAATGGAATTGTCTCTAAAATTGTTTTTCAGCGTAGTTTATTCATTTGTCCTGTAGTTAATAGCCATAAAATTATTGTGAAAAATTAGCAAAATAATATTATCTCATATTTCAACAAAAATTAATATCATAATGTATAAAATAGTTGCAAATAATATTAAATTATTTAATTACAGTAACCTTTATCGTTCACATTAACTCGAAAGCTTCTCAATTCATAATTTTCGGGCAGTTTTGTAAAATCATAATTAGGGAGCTATAATTTTATTATTCGTTTGATACCATAGAGAATTAGCTATTCGTCATTTATTATCTCAAAAAAATAAATAAGAGTTAGTTTGCTGAGATAAATAATTTAAAAAAAAATTTTTTTAATTTTTATCTTTAGCTGGTTACGGGCCTATGAGTCCACATCCAGGATATGGAATGTCTAGCGTTCAAGCGGAATATCCGGGCAACACGTACACGCCGTATCCCACAGCTGGTTATCAATGTGGTGGAACTTATCCTGGTGGTCCTGTAACCTCGAGTTATCAAATTCCGGCTGGCTACTCACCTGCACCGTGTTACAGTATGCCACCACCGCAACATACAATTGGACCTCTCGATAAAAGTGCTGGAAAAGATGACAGGTACGCCGAAGAACTGTAAGGATATTTTTTACTTATCAATATTTAATTATAGTCAAAATAACCTTTAATGAAACCAAAACAGGCAATAGATATCACTTCAACATTTTATTTCAACGTTTTGAAAAAATTTAGTAATATTAAAAAAATGTGTTGTTATAGAAAATATACAAGATAAATATATTGATAAGATTTTTCTAAAAGAATTTTCTCATGCCAAGTAGCTCGTTTTAAAAAATATAAAATTATTTCAATGGCAAAAATCAATGGGCAAATTTTAGCGGGCTTATCGGATATCTTGAGATTCTATAACATAATCTCATCATTTGTATAAGAATGGAAAAACTGGTGTGTTCTGTCGAACAATGTTTCTTTGAAAAAATCATGAATTCAAAAAAAATAATTATGTTTTTTTTGTATCATTTTTACGATATTAGGTGACTCAATATATTAAAAAAAAAGAAGGACACAGAGAGGAATCGAAAAGTGTGTGGATATCCAAGTTCCTAACGTAACTTTTTCAACAAACTTTCGCAATCACAGTACTTTATAAAATAGTATTCACTCTTTCACGATATGATAAAAAAAGACAACACAGAGGAAAAGAAAAAAAGCGAGTAAGCGAGAAGTCAACAAAGTAGCTGACATGAAATAGCAAAGCCCGAGAGGAAAAAACACTGGTCGTCCACTTGATGATCGCTCGCAATCTCAAATATATAATACTTTTAAAACGCCGTTTTCTGTGTGGTTGTAGCTGGGGCTATGCACATATCATAATAATATACAACATATCTTTCTAAAGCTCCTACACCTTCTTTACTAGCGAAAATGTGTAGATGCTTCTGGGGGAGGCTAGCTCGTACGTGATTGTACGTACTTAAGGCCCCGCAGAAGCTCGAGCAATATCGCGGCCGCTCAAGTACCATCGAGACTCTCTTTTTCTCTCTTCCTCTCCCTCTATCTCATTCTTTCATATAGTTTTTTTATGATCTCGGTGAGAGTGCGTGCCTCAGAGCAGAATCCCCTCATGTTTCCTAGTAGTTACGGAGTCTTACTACTAATACTTCTAGTTCATTATGCTAGGTAGAAATGTCTGTGAAACGTAAATGTATGAAAATCCCGACGAAATGAAAGTCTACAAAATCGATTTCAACCATTGCTACATAATAATTTAGCATGAATTTGATCCTCGCATTTATTAAATTGAATCGAGTTTGGAAAATTAGAAGAAATCATCTAACAGAAGTGTCAATAATTCAATGAAAAATTTTAAGCAATTATTAAAAGTTTTGAAAAATCAATTAAAATTTTCTTGGCATTGAGAAAATATATATATTATTATACTTTTATTCAATAGAGCTGTTCAAAATTGGGCCAAAAGACAAATTTACTATTAATTAATGAATTTTGTCAAAATTAAAACTTTGAATAATATTGAATGGCTTCTAAACTAAAATTAGTTACAACATATTATATGTTTACGTAAGCCATTAAGTTGGATTTTTTATCATTCATTCCATGAAAAAAAATTTAAATTACATCAGATTACTGTTTTTTGACATTACTTTAAAAAGAAATATTGATGATAGTGAGAATACCATTTATCGTCGCCCCAGCACAGGAAGGAATCTCTATAAACTCGAGAGGCAAAAAGGTACCTTAGTCCTGTCCTTTAAACATAGGGCTGAGGCACTTATCTCTAAATTTATTAAGATACCTTCTGGCGCTGGGGTGACGTTATAATGATCTTTAAAAATAATTTTAAAAATTATGCGTCCCTCCTGATTAATGTATACAAGATATAGTGAGTCATTCCCCGTACATCAGTATTATTATGCAAATTATAATGCTATAAGCAACTATCGACGGAAACTTGGAGATATGCGGATACATGAAGAAGTTTTATTCAATTTTTTACAGTCTTTCCGGTTGTCCGCGATCCGATCGTTCCCAAATCCAAGCACATTCACAAGAGCTGAAATGTCCAACTCCAGGCTGTGACGGCTCGGGGCACGTAACTGGCAACTATTCGTCCCATCGAAGCCTATCAGGCTGCCCTAGAGCCAATAAGCCCAAGAGCAAACCACGAGATGGTCAGGATTCCGAACCATTGAGGTCAGTATTTTGCATATGACATGTATAATAATACGCAGCCCATAAAATTTATCATCCGTGGCCGGTGGTATACGACATACTCTTACGACCGGTTGTAAAGCTTTAAACGCGAGGAGGTGTGAGTTAGCTCTTTTTTGACTGCGTTATGGCCTTACACGACAGAGCGATTTCTTTGATCGCTCGTTAAGCGACTTCAAACTAGTAATATTTCCTTTGATGGCTCTTGTAAATACAACGAGTTTGACAAGCCCGAGCGAGCAAGTAGAGGGTATAAATGTTTAATGCTCACGCGATACAACTAAGCTATTATACAGGCTACACAGACTGCACTTTTCAAGTGGTCAAAGCGAAAAATATTCTCGGGTTTCAAGAATGAAAATGCACGTGATCGTGGATAATTTTACCAATTATAAAAGTAAACTTGATTGCAGGCATCTATTTATCCAAGCACACTACGAATCTCCATTGCTTGATGTATCCATCAAAAACTTTGTTAGGAACAGAAAGTGCTGTGACATCAATACGCTCACTAGAGTAAACACACACACACACACACACACACACACACACACACACACACACACACACACACAAACATACACATTTGTGAGCTGCAACTAAAACTTTATGTATACGAGTGGTGCGAAGATTAATTGAAATCAGCATATATACCTATAAGAGATATTACGTGCCTGAATACTCCCTCAATCGTGAGGCACATACAAGCCCGTGCGCATGCCAGCACGTTCCTTTAATATGCGTATGAACCGATGCTTTGGTACTCGCTTATAGGGTGTAAAGCTCTGTAATGCAAAGCCGACTTGTCGATTCCAATACGAAGACGCTGACTGGCATTGCGCGTGCGGTTTCCGCTCATTTCACTCGCTAACTATCTTTCGCTGCTATCTACTGCTGCTGATATATTGAAATATACTCGCATTTTTTAATGCTCATTTCAACTTTTAATTTCCTGCTGCGGGGATAATTTTGATGCCATTCACAGATGTCCTATTCCTGGATGTGACGGTTCTGGTCACGCTACAGGCAAATTTTTGTCGCATCGCAGGTAAAATACAGCGTTTTGAATTCGCAATACTTGCATATTTTTTTCGTTAAAAATTTATCAATATTGATGCGTGCAAGTTTTTTTTAGTTATAACTTTTAACGAATAGTTTTTCATATTCATTACTTATTCAAGCTTTGCAATATTTTTTTTCTCATTTAGATGCATCCCCTCTTTTACACTCATTCCTTACTCTATTGATAGCCTTTGGCGTGTGCAAAAGCATTTAATGTATAAATTATGAATGCCGAGTCACAAGTAGCAGCAACAGTCGGAGCTAACGTAATAGTAACGAATACGAAACGATGATTACAGCGCTTCTGGCTGCCCCATAGCAAATCGCAACAAGATGAGGGTCCTCGAGTCCGGTGGCACTGTGGAGCAGCATAAAGCCGCAGTGGCTGCGGCTACTGCCATGAAATTTGAAGGTGTCAATTGCCCAACGCCAGGTTGTGATGGCATAGGTCACATCAATGGATCTTTTTCCACGCATAGATCACTCTCCGGTTGCCCGATTGCGGGTCACTCAGTCAAGAAACCCAAATTTGAAGATATGTCGGCCATGTATAGTAAGGGCATTACAGGTAAACAAAACTATATTTTTTTCTACATGCCCATTATTTATCGAAGGGTTTGTATTTGCACGAAATTATAACGCCTCATTAAAATAAGATAAAAAAAATTGGTAAAAATGTTTTGAATATCTTATGTGAATGCAAAGACCTTTGTTGAATGCAAAAGTATTCTAGAATAGTAGCAAAAAATAAGATCAGTGATGAATAATACGTTCGAAAAAGTTTCCATAGGTTTTCATCATCACTCCCTTTTTTGTAAAAAATATTCACATTTGATTGAAAACTTATTTATAATTGAAAATTATCGTTTTTCTCTCATTCGGCTTTGCAATTAGAGGAAATGTAAATGATATGATTGATCTCGTATTTGACTTTGAACTCAATTACAACTACGATCTTCTTTTGACTTTCACGCAATATGATGTGCTGTCATACCAATTAATATTTACTTTATTCCACCCTCATCCATATATATTATACGTACATCTTACACATACCTATTAAATCTCAGCTCTATCATTTTTTTGTTTGATTAAAACTTTTAAAAATGTTAGATTATAAATGTAATGTAGTTATTAAGGCATATTAATCACTTTCAAACCCATCGAGACTCTATCTAACTTACAATGGCATTATAACTAAATTAAATATACGTCAAGCGTGATATGCCAACAAAATATCAATGCATAAATAAATAAATGAATAAATAAATAAATAAAACGTAGTATCTACCCTTGAAGAGAACACTATAAAATGAAGAATCTCAAAATTTCAGCACCCTAGATCCATTGTTCACACAACCTCAAATTATTGAAAAATTGTTATTAAAATATTTTTTAATGGACACCCCATAACAATGGGATATCATTTAGGAAATGAAAATTCAGCACTGAGCTTCTACAAATCTATGAGAAATGTACTTAGAGAGGTTCAAATTTCGAAAATTGGGATTGATTAATGTATTTTTTTTAAATATATCATTGGTTTTAATTAAATTTTTTTAAATATTACGTTTTATGTGGAACATCCCATGTATATAAGCAAATATAGGCATAATAAGACGTTTCAGTTATTTTTGGATCAAAATTGGAACATGAATGCAATTTTTTTTACTCATTGGAAGGGATGAAAAGTATGATAAATAGTAAAAGTTTAAGAGTCAGGAATCAAAATTTTGCTCTGACAATTCCCCTGGGCGTATTTTTGGCCATTGTTTAACAAACTTTCCTTTATTTTACTCTTAATTTTGATTAGCTGCCAGGAAGTCATTTTTTGACTAAACCGGATTCGCGAGCCACGAATCTCTTCGTTTTGAGTGTATTTTTCGCGGGGTTAATGCGGCGAGGGCCTAAGATGGTCTTAGAAACGTCTGCACGAGGTAGTGATTAGGCATTTTTTTAAACATTTTTAAATGGTTAGAGTGAAAAAAACTTAATTGTCAGTGTCCGCAAAAGAATAACCTTTCACACTATTACAACACGATTTTAAAAAATAGGTGTTTTTCGCTCCACCCTAACGGGTATCCTACACCGCGATTTCTAGTTATAAATGTCAATTTTTCAAAATTTTTGCTCGTTATATCCAGTTCAAAAATCGAAACCATTAGTTAAAAGTCGCGATTGAATGAACTACAAACGCGAATATGGAGGGATAGCCACATTTACAAAACTGCGAATAAGCTCAGTCTGCGAATACGGTAACCGCGGAATACGGAGGGATACCTGTACTTATGCAGCATTTGACGCCAACTCTCCTACTGCTGCACTGCGTGGCATTATTTAGTCGAATCGGCCAATTTGTAACTCGCTGTAAAAATATCTAAATGCATCAAGAAGAAAAAAGTAACGCATCATTTCGATGGGAAATATTTTCAACTTTCCAATGACAAGATCAGATTTCCCGAAATGTTTTATTTTTTCCGAGAAAATCGCCGAAAAATTCTTAAAGTCGATATTCTCAAAAACTTAAGATAAGATTTTACGATTTTTTTAAATAGTCTAGATCAAAAGGGCAGGAAATTTCCGATTGCAATAGCGAATTTTCCGAGAGGGGTTTTATGATTTTAGAGAGATATAGCAAAAAAAGAAGATAAAGCGTGGTTTTTTCGTGGTTGTTGCATGTCAAGTCGGTGCAGCGCGCGCGAGAACCACGTTTTTTCTTCTTTCTCTCTATATCTCGATAAAATCTAAGAGGACTTCACTGAAAAATGTCTATATAAATGGGAAATTTCTTGATCTTTCGATGTAAAATATTTAACAAATCTTAAAAATGAAGTTTTTGAGATGACCGAATTTTAAGTATTCTCGGAGATTTTCCTAGAAAAAATTAAAAGTTTCGGAAAATCTGATCTTGTCATTGGAAAGTTAAAAAAATATCCCATCGAAGTGAAGCGTTTTTTCCCCAAGATACATTTAGGTACTTTTACAGCGAGTTACATATTAACCGATTTTACTAATAATGTCGCGCGTTACGGCACTTGGAGAGTTGACGTGAAATGCCACTTATACGGAATCTTCGATTAATTCTAAATATTTGTTTTCCATAAAATTATTCTTAATATTGATTCTTATTGGGCGAAAAATTGTTAAAGAATAAATTTACATAATGACGTATTCCACGCTCGACCAGACAGTGCGCTCGCTCGGGGCATTCTTTAATGTATCGCAACTGTTCTAACAAAAAAGTGCCGAAAATTCGTCGATCACGGAAGGGACACTTTATTTTACTATTGCGATTTTCGTGTGCTATTATTTCGTGTGTATAGTGAAGCTGCAATTAAGATTCGAATATTATACGGGTAAGAATCGAGTACCTTGGTTCTAAAAGATGACCCTCATATAATTAGGGAGGTCAAAATGACTGTCTAGCACGTTTACTGGCCCTATATTTGGAATGATGTAAAATTTCACATAATTTAAGGACACATTTTTTACTTATGTACAATTGTTTTGAGATGACGAGTGATGCAAAAAAACTTTATTTAGGATGTATAGAATAGGGCCCATCTACCATAATATTGCTGGATATTTGTAAAACTGTGTTTAATGCGTGAAAACAATCGATTCTGAGTTCAGGATAGGTCACGGAGGGGACATTTTGTATGTTTATCCGACTGACAAATCAATGTGACCTTTATTGATGGAAATTTTATAGTTGCAGAAGGTAGAATTCGGTAAAATGAAAGGTTCTACCGTCTTAGTTTTCATTTTTTAAAAGTTTTCGAATAGCTACAATAACAAGATATCTCATATCACGCTTTTGAAATAATGCACCATATACACATTGCATAAAGTATTATTAATTTTCTACGCGATGAACTCTGACTTTCTAACCGTAAAGCGCCATAAAAATCTTGTTTGCGGAAGAAATGTGAAAAAAACATCGTATGCACCGGGTCATACACGATGCAAATGACTTCTCAGAAGTCTTTTTATTTTATCAACTCGAACGGCTCTGAGTATTTCATCTGCATCGTTGCGTAATAAACAAAATTAAAATTATGGTAATAGCACTATAACTTAATAGTAACTGTGTAACATTGCAAACATATTATATGCCAATTTCAATTGGGAGTTTGAGCTCGGCTCGACATTTAAAAACAACTGTTTAGTATACTGTCACGATTGCAAAGTTTTCACTGCTTGATGTTCAAAATTGAAACTACTTTATTTTTTCTCAGTGTAATAATCACAAATTCACAGTACCGTTACTTTCAAATTTAGTCATAAACCTCAAAATTTTAAAATTAAATCATTTTCAAAACTTCATAATTTTAAATTCACTGAAATGGTGAGGGCAATGCTGAAATCTGTACGTTGCACGCCTTTGTAAATGGGGAAAAGGTATATTATACCGAAAAACATGTCCCAGAAAATTGTCCCAATTAAATAATTCAATCAAATTATTTTTTTAATTTTTTGCCGTATAAATGTAAACATATTGGATCATTTTTCAATTGAATTGTACAGACATTTTAGTACAATTTAAGTTATTTATTTACAACACAACGCTCACTTTTAAACTAAGTAATAGGTCAACTGTAATGATGAATGAGTGATTATAAATTGAAATAAACACGATATTACGGTTCACAAATTGGTCAAGTTTTGCAGATTGAGTCATATACTCATGGATCTGAATCAGAATTTTTTAAATAAACTTGATCGCAGGGTCCTCGGATTTTCCTAAATTTTTAAAAGAGTGTGATGTGTCAAAAAATCTTGGAAAATTTAAGGTTGTTCGAATTGTTACACCACCAGAAATCAAGCATCCACATAATTCTGGTAGTACATTATTGTATTAAGATCCATAACTCTAGCTCTCGATGCCTTTTGACGAATCCTAAAACTGACCAAAAATTCAGAAACATCCGTAGACCCTGTACGAAGGTTCATTAAAAATATTTTGAATCTGACCTACAAACGTATATGAAGCCAACCCAAAAAGTGTACTGTAATATTCTAAACTTTTACACTGTTTAATTTTAAAAGAAATTTTTTTTTAATTGATTACGTTGTGAAAACCAAAGTCAAATATATAAAGAGAATTAAAAAATATTTAGCTTATAAGAGCAAAACATCACCAATGGTAAAGCCATTTTTAAAACATATAAATAGAAAAACGATATTTGTTCAAATCAAATTGATAAGAGTCTCAAGGGGTTAAAATTGAATTTGATATAGCGGCAATTGTAACTATATTTTTCTAAAAATAGAAAATTTTTTAATCATATTAGTATAAAAAAACTTGTTAGTCTATTTAACTTTTTAACTAATATCATTAATTATTATTATTTTTTTTTTATTTTTGACAAATGTTACGGAATTACTGGCTTTTGAATTTTGAACTAGAAGGAATAAAAAGTTATGCAATTTTATAAAGCGGATCATCAACTATATAATGAAAAAATAATCTATTCTGGTTTATTCTGGGATCACAATCAGCTCCTTTCCTGTCATTGAGCTTTGAGGAGAACATTTACTTTTGAAGGTAAGGGACAGACGTAATCGCCACTTGATTTTTTTTATGTGTTTCTTTAATTTATCGGTGTTTTTACTTTTTGCGGTAACCCTTACACATAAAATAAATTATTTCTACAAATAAATGCGATGCTGGAGTGCTGGCTTGCCTGAACTATTATTACCTAAACTTGCACAACACGTCTTATTATGATTTAAAAAAAAAATTAAAATTAAATGGTGCTCAAGCTCACACAAGAATCATCCTTTAAAATTGAGTACATTGTTGGTTACACTCGATTACAAGAAAAAGTTGCTCAAGCCAACACTCAGTGTCACCCTTTATTTTTTTATCTACTGTCTGGTATGATGGCACTTCACGCTGTGTTTTTCTTTATCGTATCCCTTGACAATTGACTCGGTCTTGTTGTTGAGCCCGCTAAACGTGCCCTTAAGCATCTTTCTATGTATCAGTTCAAATAAAACAACAATGGGAAATTTTCTTTATTTGGCAATAATTCGATTTTCTCCGTTGACATTTAAATTGCATAATATTAGCTCCGAAAATTTGTCAAGTCACTTTTTTACTTCGTACCATAAATTGTACAAAGAGCCTTGCTACATGCATTAATACACGGTGTGGCCTATGAAGTGCGATATCTTGCTCATGGTAAATCCAGAGAGTTCACGATCAAATAAATGTATAATATTTATATAGATAGTGGAATCATGAGCTGATACAAAAAAGGGAGAAATGGAGAAAAGTCAAAGAACATAGAGCTTTCAACTATTAACTGATAATAGCTTAAAGAATCGTTATACATCAAAAATTATTGTTAAAATTGGCGTTAGTGGAGGAGGAGAAAAAATCGGTCGATTATCAGCGATCTTTCCAACTACGAACATAGTTTATAAGTGAAAAAATGTAGGTATCGAGTCGAGCAGCCTCAACGGTCCAGCAGTACCATCTAATGCCTGTCTAACGACTCTTGGGCCTTCCCCAGCGTCGGGCAATAATGCTATAGTAACGACAACGCCAACGCCTGGAAATGCAACTGGTGGTGAGGATCTCTACACACTGGAAGCCGAGATTTCTGAGCTACAGCGCGAAAATGCACGGGTCGAATCTCAGGTTTTACGACTGCGCTCTGACATCACAGCTATGGAGAATCAACTAAAACACGGCGAGAAGGTGAGTTCAATCCCTATCTCCGTCGGTAATTCAGCTGAAAACGAGGCCTGCATGATCATCATTAGGGATGTCAAATTACATTTTCGACTTGGCAAAATTAATACTTTTTCTACATACCGTTATAAGCATACATATAATGTTTATATGTTGTAACACGATGTATAAACAATTGTCAGATTGATCAATTAATAGTTTATGCTTGTCTTATCCAAGATCAAAATCTAATTAACTGATGAAAATGTCGTGATTCGCAATGCCAACATACCAGACAATGATAGTGGTTTGCAAGTATGCTACTTTATTTTTGGTTCTCAGCTCTGTTCATGTACTTTTCTTCGTTACATATACTTTTATTTTATTGTAATCTATAATAAATATATTAATATTACATGTTTAATATTCATTAGAAGTTGGAAATATTTCCTCAATTTTGCTTATTTCTTCACATATTTCTTTTATTTACATCGTATATTGATTGTCAATTTATTACATTTGATTGACAAAAATTTAATATCGTGTGCTAGGTTGATTAAGGACAATTATAAACATAAAATTTTATTGTATATAGTCTCTTTAATCGATGAAAAGTCATGAAATAATTTATTGGCTCGCAGGACAACTCCTCACTGCAGCAGCGTAATAACAATCTAACGGATTATTATCAATCTCTGCGCGATAACATGATCACACTGCTAGAACACGTGCGTATACCAAATTCGGCTGGAACAGGTAGCCATGTAACTGCAGGAATTACCAATGCTGCTCCTGAAAAGATACTGGGACACCACGAGAACCTCGACAGTTATCTGACTAAGCTGCAGACGCTGTGCACGAGCTCGGATGGTTACTGTGGCGCCTCAGCGAACGACGAGCCACTACACCATCAGCGGCCGATGTACGATACCGTCAAGACTGCTCTGCAAGATTTCACGGTGCTGCCGACACCCATCTGAGACTATCCACATCAGAGCCTCTTCCGAAGAAACGACTATGCTTAATCACACAGGCTGACCGAAGATCAAGCTCAATCCAGTTTCTACCATTACTGCGACTGGATTATTGATATTTTTGTTATATTCCATTTTTGAATGTGATTTTATCGTCAAGATTGTCTTGTCTTATATTTATTTTATCTAATAAGCAGATGATAATATGAAATAAATATCAGTTCAATTTTCAATTTTCAAGAGCCATTTGATGAAAATCAAAGAGAAGCATGTCAAGCATTCAATGCGTTAACAATAAGTCCGCAGAAAATATCGCTCAAGTAGCGTTGGTTATAGTCAGAAAGATGTCTCATACTTAAGCAGCGGTAGTGGCAGTACATGGCAGTAGTACTCAGTACAGAATCAAATAAATTGAGTCTTCGTATTTACGCCTGCTCAGATGCATATTTTTCGAGTGACCTCGATTGCGTCGTTCAGGTTTTGTGAGTGAATTGTCGTACCATGATGAAACATCATAAATAGTTTCGATTCAACAAAAGCTCTAGCACATAAATGAATGCATGTCTCACACGTATTCTTAAAATTTAATTGCAGTAGTGAGACTTTTATTGCTATGAGATATGTACCAAAAAATACAACGCGCAAAATATTAGTCTAATTATTTGTTTTGTACATATAATAATGGTTTTCATAAGTCAAGAATCACGACTTCGAAAATATACTTACTTGTAAATAAAAAACATAATGACATATATATGAATGAGCTAAGCATTTTCTGTATTACTATAAAAATACATACCTTACATTTGGCTGAAAAATATTATTAGGTATATGTAAAATATCTGTCAAATGAATTAAATAGAAAAATATACGAAACGGTTATACACACTTGATATAAAATACATGTAAAAAGTATACGCACATTTATCAGGCTTCTATTATATTCTAGCTTTACATCAGTTTTTATTTCAATTTCTTGAAAACGATTGGGTCAAATACGAATTTATGCGTAAACATTTAATGGAAAGAAAAATTTTGATTAAAGAACGACGATGTGTGCATAATTAGTTATGCTGATATCAATGGTCAGCGAGCTTTCAGGCGTGAGAAAAAAGTTTTTAAATCTTTTTTTTCAATCATAGTTATTAAATATATTGTAAAGTAAATAAATACAGTAGTAATACTAAATAATTGAGTAACATCAACGAGAGATGCTAATCTGAATGCTCATTGTTAAAATTATTTTCATATCAAATTAATTATGATTAGGTAAACATTTTGTGAATTATTCAAAGCACGATGCTACATGTAATTTCAGATCATTTTAATAATTTTTTCATTCCCTATGCTGGGCTTGCAAAGAATAATTGACAAAATGATCATTGGCTGGAAAAAATTAGTTCTTGTTACTCGTCAAATTTGACAAATATTTTAGCAAAATCGGCCAATCGCTGTTTGTAAAAAAGTAGTCGAGCGCATAAATATTACAAAGAAGATACAATGATAAATATATCGCGGTTATATTTTGTAGGGCTGTTATTTTTTACTTAACAGTTATTTATTACTAAGCAGAAAATATGTTAATTAGTTTCGAATTAAATTTTATATTTTCATTATAGTTTTGTGATTGCTCTTTTTAAGTATTTATTTTATATACGTGCCTTATTTAAAATTATCATTTATTGGATTATTTCAATTAAATTAGTCAATCTAAAATTGTTATAAATTAGAAAAACTTAATGATCTTAATCAGTGCAATAATAATTGATCAAAAACCAAAATGTCTATTGTATAATTCTCTATGTTACATTAATGTAATGTCATTACATCGTGATATAAATATTACGAATAATTAGGTTGTGTTGTTAGTAAACTAAGTTTTCTTGACATTTTCATTTGGATAGGTAAATCATTGGCATTTATAGGAATTCAATATGATGTGATTATTTAGTCTTAGAATTACACATTACAAACATAGAGCACGACTGCTTCACAGAGGTTATTTGAACGCTTATCGACATTTTAATTAATTTTTTAATTTCTACTTTATTATTGACAGTATTGAATTTTGATATTACTTAAAACCAAAAATTATAAAAGAGCGTTGTTTAATTTATATACATTAATCAGATTCAACAATTTTTAAATAAACCTGCGCATGGGTCCTCGAATTTTCATGAAATTTTGGTAAGTTCCTCCCTATTCAAACGATAATGTTATTTCGAGATGTTTACAGAAAAGGTAATTTGGTGAGTTACATATTGGAACGAAAAATAATGACGTTTCTAATGATCAGTCCAGGATTTCACCATAAAAATGACGCAATTTTTTCTATAAATTGAATGTTTTTGAGAAAAGAGCGTTATTTCTTCATAAAAATTGTATGTGTGTAAAAATTATGTAATTTAATTTTTCATTTTCTGAAAACTCTGCACAAATTTATTTGAAAAATTTAAAATCTGACCCAAAACATGTGGGTTGAACCATAATTAACGGGTTTTGATAAAAATAAAAATCGAAACTACGTATGTATCCATAAAGAGTACAATGAAAAATGAAAACCCTGAATATTTGAATCCCCCTATGTGTATTCCTCATGAATCTACAGATGTTCAAAATTGCATTTTCGTTCTATTTATTTTATTTTACTTTCATGGGAGGGCTTTGAATAGATATTGGAATAATGATAATTGATGTAAAATTGGAGGAAGAAGTTAAATTTATTGCCAAAAATCATATTATAACCTCTTAACACCTTGGAAATGTAAAAATAGCATAAAATCTAAAAATAAAGTTGTTTATATACTTCCAATAAGACAATACTGTAATTATATATTCTTTTTGAAATCCAAATACAACTTTCCCTAAAATTTGGTCAGGGACAGACCAATAGACACAATTTAACAGCATTTAATGGACGAAAAAACATGAATAGTTAGGGAAAAAATCATGTTTTATCATCTTTCAAAGGTGTCTTTGGTATTCTCGTCACAACATTTTAGAACAAATTGTATTTTAGTTTTTAATAGTATACGATGGTATAAGTAGCACTTTATGGCACGGCAAAGTAAGCGTCCGAATGCAGCGATCCGAACGACGCGGTGCCGTAAAGTGCGACTTATGCTACCGAAAAGCGTGCCACAAATGTGAACTTGAGACACGCAGTGCTATGAAGAAATATGCTCCAATATTTCAAGGATTTAAAGGTTCAAGGTTATGAATATTATTTTTAATTATAAATTCGTTTTCCTCGTCAAATTTTACATGAAAGGTCATTATTAAAATATTTTAATAGCTCACATTTTTGACACTCTTTTCGGTGGCATAAGACGCACTTTACGGCAGCGCGTCGTTCGTATCACACTCGCTCCGCTCGTGTGCTAATCTCACTCCGCGGTAACAGAAAGTGCGGCTTATAACTCGGAAAAGGGGACAAAAATTTGAACGTAGATCAGTTTTATAAAATTGGGTACGATACTCGGACCGTAGGGGACACTTTAACTACGCCGTGCTACAAAGTGTCACTTATAACCCTTGTATCGTCAAGTACTATTTCGTAATCATGCTAGATAAGTAGAATTATATTTTAAAAATTAAAACCCAACTCTTAGTTTCAGTAGATCCATGAGGGTTGGACCAAGAGGGATGAAATTTTGGGATTTCTAATTTTTCAGAGTACTCTTGAAGAGTATTTACTTAGTTTCATTTTTACTGTTTGGACTATAATTGTGATCGTGATGTAGCCCATGTTTTACTATTTATTCATTGAAGTACTTTTAGTGTACTTATTTTTTATCATAATCATTATTCAAAACTAAATATTCACCAAACGAAAATTTTCCAAAATTGCCTATTAGTTTTCAAACTAAAAACCTCAAATATAAAAATGAATGAATGAAATATTTAATTACATATTTTGTGTACTTGTTATAAGTTTACTCGGGTAAAAAATGGTCAACTTGTTAAAAACAATCTAGCTGGAATCCGTGGATGCAAAGTATAGATGAAGACCGCCCAATACACGTAAGAAGTATTAAATAAATAAAATCAAATTAAGTGGTATAATAGAAAAGATTAAAATAAAATAATTCACATACTTATTTTGAATGTGATTTGTACACAGCAAATGCCAAGTTAAATTTGTGCACTATGATGCCAAAAAGGTGATCTCACGAATAAATGTCTAAGATGAAGACATTGCGTGCGAAATTTCATTGAACTATATCAACAAGACATAAATTTCGCGAGTTTAAACAAAACTTCGCATATCTTTCAGTCTAATCTAAGTTTGCATACACATACAAGATATTAAACTTCTTACTTATTCAGTATTGACATTAATCTGGTGGATTCTTTTTTGCATCATTGGCATTATACGTATGGCAAATATGCAGTATGTTGAATTTGCTATATACTCTCAAAAATATGCATAAAAAGACTCTCCTTTTATGAAGGCAAGCTTGCAATGCCATAGGATCCACGAACTCCGTGGCCAAATCTGAGAAATAACACTTTCCATCACGATGCTTCTTGTGCAACATATGATTTAAAAACATTCTCGTCATATTTATAATTCAGTGAAAAAAGATGCATACGTATGGTCGTTTAAGTAAAAAATCAATCGCTCACGAGCAGAATTATAGTTTTTTTAATAATGAATTAATTCATTAATAAGAAATTTCGAGAATATTAAACCAAAATATATAACTAATTCTAACATTTTTACGACTGCTATACAATTAGAACGTGATAATATAAATGTACATACTAAATAAATGAAAAAATAAAAAAATAAGAGTGCTGGAAATGAAAGATCAATTAAAACTGATTGTGAGTATAATCATGATGATGCTATAAATTATACATGTATATTATATATATGAAGCGACAGGACTGATACATAAAATAAATATTTAAGAATGAAAAGAATTAATAGAAGAAAAAGAGAGAGAGAAAATAACCATGTTTTCATGAGATGTGTGTAAACAACTTAATCAAAAATAGCATATTTATACCCGATGTATACTATTTCTCTCAAATACAATGACACACCGTTCATAACTATTTATATATCTGTCTGTCTGTTTGTCTGTATTGATCCAGCAACAATCGAATCGTGCGTAAAAAGTCCATTTACGGTGTAATAAGAAAAATATTTCAAGCATTGTGCATATAGCGTTTAGCGATCATTTTACGTCGATAGCTAAACAAACAGAATTGTATTAAATAGCAAAACGCATTTACATTATTATAACTATACATAAATTGTTTTATTTTATTTTCATCATTATATACGAGTTATATGTATACGAGTGTAAATCAATTTTTCGATGGAGCGCTTCTCACACCAAAGTCGAGCTTAAAATGTTCATTAAGCAGATATAATCGAGTTAAAATTGCTTTGGTATGTGTAGCCACGACTGCAGACCATTTGTTGCTGGATTTTCATGAAACATAGTTTTTGAAACTTACTTAATCATTTTTCGGGTAACTCATTATTATTTATTTCGTTGCTATCATATTAATTATGATTAAAAAACATTCTAATTATATATTATCATTACTGTTGAGGTTGATAAAGTTCTAAGAGGCATAAGTTCAGCAATATGCTTTAAGTCATAAGTATAAATGTTACTCTGATTGAATAAAGCGTATATACCGATAATGATTACCTGTACTTTTCTTTAGATGGGGTTTTGTACAGAAAAATATCATTTTATTAAAGAAAACTTTTTTATTTCTACCAAAAATATTTCTCAGGTTGAAATTTATTTAAACTTATAATTCATTACAGAAATGAAAAAATTAACATTTATAAAAATCGAATGAATACGAATTGCGCAGTATTGTGTTGATATTTTCAAAGTTGTCAGGAATATTTTAATATAAAGTATATGCTTCAATATTCTGTCAACAGTTCGACACAAATCATTTTGTTTTTTCTTGACTATTTTTTTCCTTTCATTAATTAATCAAGACTAATGGTTAATCTTCATTACTACAAAATGAATCGTTTGATATTTTTATTACAGTTATTGCGTTTAAGTGTACGAGACATATCATTTTATATATCACAATAAAAACTGGATATGACTTCTGTTTTTACAGTTGTACCCACGTGATGCCTTGTGGAAGATGTTTCAATAAAAATTGAGAAGACTATTTCGTAGATAATCTTTTTTTTAAGGAGATACCGAAGCCAGGACAAAATTAGAATTTTTTTAATAACTTGTTTTCTCAGATTTGCGTTCAAGTATTTTTCTCAAAAGCTATAGGTAGATCTATAAAAAAACAGAAAAAAAATACTCAACTTTATAGAAAAAATTTAGTGGAAATCTTTGTTTGAAAATGATCAATTTAGCCCGGCTTTGGGATCAAATTTAACCTTTTTTTCATATTCAGTATTCGTAATTGTTTTATTTAATAAAAAGCTTCCCAGAATCATTTCGTTTCTTTTAAATATAGAAAGTAGGATGCTTTGATAATACTCTTAGAACATAAACATTTTTTCACGAGATAAACTTTTTACTGTTATTATAATTAATTATATCAAAGAAATAAAGTTGCAATAAATTTTTAAAAATTAGTCCAGTTTTCAATTTCAAATGGAAAATACTCTGTACATGATACATACGTGATGTATGCCAATATTTTACCGTCGAATCACGTACATCGATACCTCCTGGCAGTAAGATGCCAGTTCACCGAACTGAGCAGTTTTATTTTCATTCAACATAATGCTACTTCAATGCTCCGTTCAACAAGATGCTATTTCGGTATTCGGTTCTGCAAGATGCTACTTCGGGCACCCCGTATTATGAAAAATTGAAACTCAGCGAAACATTGTATTTTCAAAGGCATTTTAAAATTGCATACTTTCCAAACTCTGGAGTTAAATTCACGCATCTGAAGGGTTGTCTGTGAGAAATTTTGTCATAAAATTCGTTCCGATTAAGAGCCTTAATGAAAAAAAGTAATCTGTAATCATTAAACTTTTTTAAAATGTAGCTAACACAGATTTCTCTTTTTTGAAAAATGCTAAGTAGGCAAAATAGTAATTCATTCAGATTACTCTTTAAGAAAAATTGTATTGTGCACTCTCAACACAAAAAATTATTCTTTATAGAAGTGCGAATTTAAATCTTTGAAGTTGAAAGCTTGAGCAGTTTAAATTATCTCTGTAAAGTGCATTATAGCCAAGCTACGATTTTAATTTTTTTTATCATAGGGGGTGCCGAAGTATCATTGTGCCGAATGGAAATTAAACTGGCATTTTGCTGCTAGGAGGCATTGAGTATTTTTACACATTTTTGCCTACTAAAACTATAGTTCTCAAAATGGGTTATTTTTGAGTTTTAGTTTGCATAAACGTAAAAAATCAATAGTGTCCATTTTTCCAAAGTAGTTCAATCAAAACTTTATAACATAAATAATAACCCTAATAACATATTGCATAAACCAAAAAAGCAATATGTTTTTTCCCACTCTTATCTAAAATACGCAACTTTTCCATTAATTTTAAGCTATTGTAGGAAAAAACAGTATCATCAACTGATGCAGATATGTTTTTTTAACAAAACTCGTTACAGCAGTAGTTAGCTTTAGATCTTCCATATGATTTTATAACTTTCATACCGACGATGTAAAAGATCCTTGCAACTCTCTATAGCCATTAATAAATGAAATAAGTTCGAACTTCATTATAGAAAAAAATACCGAAAGGAAAAACCTACCGTGTTCTACCGAAAATATGCCGTACGCCAAAAATAAGCGGTGGTCAAATTTTCTAGTCTCAAAAGAATATAGGGCATATTTCTAAAATAAGATGAACTTTTCAAATAATTTTTTATCAACATGTAAACAAGATTCAATGTTAATTGAGTCAGCACAGTCATGGAATCAAATACCAATCTTGTAGCATTTTGCAAAGAAAAGCGTTTAGAATATCGATTAGTACAAAAATGACGCAGTAAATATCTAAGTCTAGCTATCGGAGCAGAATATGGACATGGCGATAATGGCGTTTCAACAGTTTACGAATAATATAAGTCATGTTCTAAAAATAAGGAGTATTCGTGTTTTTTTACAAAAAAAAAAAAAAAAAAAAAAAAAAAAAAAAAAAAAAAAAAAAAAAAAAAAAAAAAAAAAAAAAAAAAAAAAAAAAAAAAAAAAAAAAAAAAAAAAAAAAAAAAAAAAAAAAAAAAAAAAAAAAAAAAAAAAAAAAAAAAAAAAAAAAAAAAAAAAAAAAAAAAAAAAAAAAAAAAAAAAAAAAAAAAAAAAAAAAAAAAAAAAAAAAAAAAAAAAAAAAAAAAAAAAAAAAAAAAAAAAAAAAAAAAAAAAAAAAAAAAAAAAAAAAAAAAAAAAAAAAAAAAAAAAAAAAAAAAAAAAAAAAAAAAAAAAAAAAAAAAAAAAAAAACGGCATAGTATATTTTCAGTAGAATACGGTAAAATGTTGTGCAATGACTCTATACAACAATTAATCTCTCAATGTAGACATAGTTTATTTAATCAATATTTATTCACCTATTTTAAATCATATCATATATGGTCTTGGTCATTGCATGAGTGACACTCGTCTGTATTTGTTGCCCATTTTATAAATTTTTTCACTATTTATCATTAAGAAAATTGTAAGTAAATTATTTTATTATCAGCCTTGATCGAACTTACAACGTCGCACCCTCGAGTTATATCAATACCTGGTTCTATTAGTTTTTATAATATAAACAGTAATTTGACAACTTTCTTTTACATTTAAAACTAACCAAAAATATACCATAAATATACTTTTTATGATAGGATCCGTAAAGGCCTTCATTTTTATCTTATCGAAATTTTATCCATTTGCCAATGAACTTTCACTTTTTGAATATTATATGAATGGATTGCAACAATTGCGTACATAAATCTCAGTAAGTATTTATAAATTTATGAATATTTATAACTACGACTATTGTTTTTTGACTAGAAACTCCAGAATCAATAAATAATTCACTCGTACTATAGACCACATTTTTTTAATATAGTACATATTTACAAGGAAAAAATCTTCCATGCAGTCAATAAACTGACAAATGACTGTGGTTTTCGTAAGATTTTCATTTTCAATTCAAATATTAAAGAAAAGCGTGGTGTTTCCTTACTTTGTTCTTACATGCATTTAAATTATATTATATCTCAAATATTTTACTGCATTAATATACATTCAAAAATGTGTGTATATATACATCAGTTAATACACGTCAGCTTCACATAATTTCCGATTTCACAATCATTCACCTACATTGACTCATTTCCTAGTAACTAAGTAAGAACTTTACAGTAGGAGTTTATACTTTACATATAAACTTTTACTTCACTTTTATTATATACATTTGATTAACGAATATCAATTGTCAATGCTATTACTGTTTAGATTTGTTGTTGTATCTATAAAATTGCAAGACCATCGAAAAGGTGTTTATTTGTTTCATTTGTACCGTAAGCTAATCATATACTACAAATGATTTTTTCCGATCAACTTTTGCTCATGTTATCGCTTTTGTATGACAGTTGTGCGCATTTGCAAGATTCAACATCGCATTGCCATAAAGTCTTTTTTTACACTTTCATCAGCGCTACTGAGACTTGATCACTTGTCTTCGTTAAAAGATTAGATTTTGCTCTCTTTTTTTATTTAGGAATTTCTTATTTGCGTCGACCACCGTTGTTTTGCAGAATCATTTCATCTGAAAAAATAATTGTAGATGGCCATGAATTAGTTGAAAATGTTTAGAAAAAGAGCTGTACGACAAATTGTTTTATTTATTTTTTTTTTAGTCTAGTAACGTAACTCAAATAAAGTGTTTAAAGATATGAAAAATGTATGGATGCACCCAAAAGTTTGATATCAGAATCAATGCACTGCTCTTTTAAAGATTGAAAACTTCTATTTTTTGAGGACTTTTATTTATTGTATTCATTTTAGTAGAGTTTATTTTTTACTGCTGACAAATATATCAAAAGGCAATAGTACAATGAACCCTTGAATGGTCGGAACCAGGGCTTTCAGTAGCTCATTATTTCCATAGAAAACTAATCTAAAGTCTTCAAATTGATATCAAAATATGTTGAATATTTTCAAGTCATTTAGATTACGCTTAAGACGTATTTCGAACCTCTGAAGTAAAATTCAATTGGGTTTAAAAGTACCTGGCATAAGGAGGGGGTGGCGTGTGGGTTGGTGGATCTATTTGCAAAACAGTGCCAGGTATGGAAAGCTCAGTTGATATGGCCGAGATCGCACCGATACTGTTTCGATGATTCTGCTGAGCCAACTGAGCAGGGTTAAGTTTTATTGCATCATCATAGCTAGGTGGAGGATCTGCAACAGCTTCATAATCTGGAGGTTTTTGTCTGGCACCCGAAGAAGGCTCCTCCATCGAAATTACGTGTATAGAGTCGTCAACCTAAAAATTATAAAATTTAACATGTAGAACATAACGCTATAAAATTCTCAGTTGTCAAGAAATTTCAGATAATCATAAGAGCAGTAAAAAATATAATGAGTAAGATATAAATAAGTTATATTTAGCAAAATCTGAATAATTTATTTTCAAATTACATAACATTGTAATAATTTTTTAAAGGCTAAAAGGGGTGATACAATTGGAAAATCTTCATAGGTATCTACACCATTTAGATAAAAATGCAAAGAAAAGTTTTTTTTAAAGATCAGGCATAACAACCATTTCTATTACTTCTTTAGCAAGTACTTTAATCAGTTATATTCATAAAAACTAGACCTTCTACAGTAAGCATTTGACACATCAAAGTGCATGTTACGTGATTCTAAGTCATTTCATGAATCAATTTAGTTCTAAGTAGTCTCGTTTTGTTCAACGGACCTTTCGGTAAAAAAAAACCTAAAATTAAGTATCAGATTAACTGCGACTCCTCGTTTATATTGATAATGTGAACAATAATTGGTATAATAAGATTTTTAACCAGACATTATAGAAAAATTTGGTTTACACATTTGGAAACTACATTGAATTATCTACAAATTTCTGAAAGTATGTTGGCGTTTTTGGCTTTTTGTCTAAATGTGAGCAAAGACTCAGAATGCAATGTATCTGAGCACAATTTTTTTAGTAGCTTAAGGAAGCTGTAGCGAAAATGAAAAAAACTTTAGATCGAAGTGAAATTTTAACCAATGATAGTTCATGAAATTACAAGATTTTTGGTAAAAAAAATTTGGGGTTTCCATGTAAATTTGGGAAATAATGAAATTCAAAGTTTTGGCCATTTAACATTGAATCAATTGGGAAGTGGTAGTTTTTAGTATACTGTGAGCTCAAATCACTTTAGAAGTTATTGAAATTAAGATATGTTACAGAAAAATTCATTAGCTTTCGAATGATATAATTATAAATGGGTGTTTCCAGGCAAATAAAAAAGATATTAAGAGTCCAACCCATTTCACCTATGCTCTGCCATGCTAATGCTGTGCGCTGCGTAACGTATATAGCCTTGCGCATATAGCGTTCTAATACAGAACCACCTTGCATCGCTACATCCTCCTTAAATTGAAGATTTATAATTAATTTATCAAAAGGGTTTCTCAGTTTACATATGTGATAATATATAATATATATCATCGTTCACGAGGAAGCTCTTTGCGAACAGCAGCGGTTTTTTAGTTTAAAATATGGTTTTTTGTGCTACCCCAACCTAAAGTAACATTTTACTCCCGCTGAGCGAAATGAAAATGTTACTTTAGGCTGTGGGATTCACAAAAATAGTATATTTTGCACCTAGGGAGTGAAAAACTGGAAAATTTCAGAGCACGTGTAATTTATCATCCGAGGCGAAGCCGAGATTGATAATCACGTGATCTGAGACTTCCTTTTTTCGCTACATAGGTGCAAAATATACTATTTAGGCTCTAGAACTTAGAATTTCGTCTGAAAAAATCTAACAAAAATGGTGCACATAGAATGCACCACTGCTCCGCAAATTCTGTCAATTATACGAGGTTAAATTTTATAGATAACCCTAGCGGGATTTTTTTTAGATAAAGTACATTAAAATGTCGTGAACTGTCATAAAAAAAGAAAAAAGATGTTAGAAAATTTAAAATTACTAATAACATAGGACATGTGATTCGTGCTTCTACAAATCTTTACTTTTTATATTACAATTTATTATGTTTGTTTACCGTTCATTGAAGCAATGAAAAACCCTTATGATGCAAGCTGATTCAAATAACATGGAAAAATTAAAAAATGGGAAAAAACCTACAATTCTGTAATGATCAATTAATTATTCTAAAAATGTACTTATGAGTTTGTCTTATCAAACGCAGTAAGTAATCGTCGTGAAAAATTGAAATTATTACTATTTTGAATTCGTCTATTCGGGGGAAATTCTTCCACAAAAGTTTTTATTTTTGCCAACGAAACTCTAAAAATCCCTATAGAACCCTAACTTTACCTGAAAAATTATCATTTTCGTATTAGGGTATGAAAAATTCCGCGTAAAAATTTCTCTTGAATAGCCACTTCACAATATATTTATGCATAACATTTAATTGTAAATGTGCAGAATGATGATCGTTTTTTCTCAGTTTAATGCAGCAGAGAGCATTGTAACATCATCATAGACGTACTGAAGAGCACTGAGGTGATTAAATTGGTTTAATCTACATATTTTTTATGAATCTATTTTAATTTATTCAAAACAATTTTTCATGACAATCACTTGCTGCAGTCGATGCGATCGTATGCGGGCATAAAATAATAAGTAAGAACGTATAAAAACCTCAAAAAATTTAATGCATTTGCCGCCCAAAATCGTTAGTAATTTAAAAATTTTTTTACGTTTTATTACATTTAATATGATAGTATTAACTTATATTTTTATTCTCTCTTGAAAGTTTTTCTTCCATCGAGAAATTTTAATTTTTTTTGCTACTACTTGTAAATAATTATACTTACACTTGGAAAGTTTTAGTGTCCTACAGTTTGGCTTGTTTCTTGAGCTTTTAATAAAATGAATTTTCAATATTTAGAAGATATTTTCATTTAATTGTTGTTGATACTTGAGAGAGTTCGGAGCTAAAGTGCATGAAAAACGCAATTACGAAGCAAAGTCGGCAAACCTAGGAATTAAAAGAGGACACTCTTTTACTCCATCGTTAAGTAGAGAGTTTAAAATCTATGCACTCCAAGCACATCTGTGAGAACGGAGTTGAAAATCTGTGCCACTTCACCAAATTCAATGAGAGAATCACGTCAGATCATCAATAAAGTCCTTGAACGATCGAAACTAAACTTTCTAAAAAGTGACATCGTAAAATCTCGGCCCTTTACCAAAGCCAAAAAAGCCAGGCAAATGTAAATGAAAAAACCACGCTTTGCTCTGAGAGATATGGTAATTCAGACAAATAAACAAGATAGTAAATTAAATTATGCGAAACTTTTTGAAAGCAATCAATCAGACACGTCAATTAATCTTCGCGCAATGGAGTCTCACTATGTACATGGATTAAAACTCCAAGTAAGGGAGCTAGCTAGACAATCAAATTACTCCCAAATATGGGTACAAAACGACAAGAGTTTTGTTAGCAAGGATGCAAATGCTCTAAAAATCTATATTTGCACCGAAAGTGACCTCAGCAAGATTGTATAAATAATTGTAAAGTAAACTCAATCTTCAGTTAGGGGAGAGCCTATACAAGTTTTATTTTCAACTCATATTATTGTATTGGCTATTTTTATTCCATATATAGCAAGTGTACTGTATTTTTTGAATTTGCAAAATTTAAGGAACTAAAATTCTCAAATTAAAATAAAATATTGTACAATTTTGAATGCTATTCATCTACCTGTAAATAATGAAACTATTTTCTTGAGCTTAAATTATAGTGTTTGCAGTTTGTACTGATTGTTGGTGTTTAGAGTTGTGAATATTTCATGGTGCAACTTCATATGATTACCGATGTGTCGAATTGAAATACGATTGTAAATCATCTATCATATTAATTAATGTACTTTAATTTCTCATTTAAAGCTATTACGTTTATTATTATCCTATGAATTTATTTATTATTATCTTATAAATACTTAAAATCGCTTGTTTGAATATTATTGTATCGCTCTGATAATATGTGAAATTTATTGTTATATTTCTATAATTTTTGTAGAGCTGTCATTATAAATATTGTAAATATTTTGTTTATTTAATTTGTATTTTTTTGTGACATCGGCAATGTCTTGCAAAGATAAATTGAAAATGTACGATTGAAATAGGTGGAAAAAATCAGAAAACTCAAAATATAATTGAACCCGATTCGGACTTTCATTTCTAAAATTATTTAAAAAGATTCCTCAGAATGTCAACTACTTTTTGCTAACTTGTTATAATGGGTTTTTAAGAATATCGATCTAATGACATCAAAGTGTGTCGAAAAATGTACAGAAAACGTCAAAAAAGGCTTAAAACACGTCAAATCACCAATAGCATCGATCTTGTTTTTTCAAGTAATTTGATTATCTGTAATAGTTATATATTTTCGTTATTAGTCATAAGAATTGCAGCATTGAAGAAAAATCAATGTTCAATATTTAATATTTAATATAAAAGAGTGATGAAATTGACATTGACTCAACTCAGCCCAATTTGGTATCGATTTATTGTCTGGTGGCAGACATGAATAATCTATTTCAATGTGTTTTATGTTATTCTTGTCACTTATCGTTTATAATGTAAGTATTTAATTAGCCACAAGCTAAACATAGATTGGGGCATTTAATTACCAATCCGAAAGGGCTATAACCTGAAGATGCCAAAACCTTAAAGTAAAATGTAAAAGGGCTGAAAGTATGAAAAAAATATGTATAAGGTAAAGCGGAGGAATACGCCATAGCTAAGGAAAAAATAGGAATAAAAAAGTAATGAATGTATGAAATCAAATCTTAAGCATTGAGGACTGTAAAAAACCCGTTCATGTATTATAAGAAAAACAAAATTATCACTTTATATTGTTATTTTAATAGTTATAACAAATTTAACAACTTGGTTTTAAAGTGGCGTTTTCCCCAATCATGCGGGGAAGACGCCACCCCGATTGGAACAATATGCCCTTAATCTGCATACAATGAAAAAAATAAAATACTAATTCATTTTTGTGATCTCCTAGCGTAATCCCACGGCTAAACTTGCATGATGTATTGTCATTATCTAGATGTCATTAACAATTTCCACTTAAACATTTTATTGAAAATTAAACAAACGCTTGCACATTGAACTTTACGAAAAATTTTGACACTTAAAAATCGACTGATAATAGCAGTAAAAAATCAGCTATTTCGTGTCGATGTAATCGGATTATCATAACGCTAATTCCAATAGGTCACTAATCTAAATTTTCTTTCTTATGAAGATAATATAGCAAAGTGGCGTCTTA